CACCATGAGGATTGGTATAACACGAGTAGATTATACAGGAGACAATATTTCTATAATCTCATTATAACTATGTTCTTGGTCTTGATCTCTCTAATTGTGTCTCATCTATATTTTTTTCACATTCCAGTTCTATTTTTTCTTTTTAAATATAATATTATTTTTCCCTGTCAAATATCTGACCATGCTTTTGTCCGCTGACTTGAGATGTTAGCAATATTTATATTCAAAAAGAGCACCAGAGACCTTTGCTGCCCTCAGAAGATTGTCTCCAAATCTCACCTATGCTGTACTCAAATATTAACATATTTACTGCAAATGTTCTCTAACATATCAGTTATTAAAACCAACCTACAAGGTTATAAAGCTTTGTTCTTCTGAAAAAGAAATGAAAGAACAGAAGCAGGTGATCTTTGACACATGTCGCAGTAAAATGATACTTATGCCCCAGTGTCACAGCAGAATTTTAATCTCCTGGACTATTCTGTTAAGTGTACAGAACAGCTTTAAAAAGAACATTGCAACATCCATAGTTTTATTCTTAAATGTATTTTTTAAAATGCAGTTAAAAAGTCCACATACTTGCTATGCATAAAGGTGGAATATTTATTTAGAAAGACAATAGTTATACAAACATAGATTATGCATTATGCGGAATCAAGTTGCTACTGAGACAAACATAATGTATAATGACCAGACATGTCAGAGGTTGCAGCAGCATTTATGAATTTGGTTCTAGAAGTTTGATGGTAGCTAATACTTCCACAAAGCAGATGAAATGAAAACTGGTAAGTATGTGATTTTTTAGCTTAACTTAAGCCATCCCGGGTTCTGCTCTGAAAATTGATAAAAGCCAAAGAACTGGTGCTAAATGAATGGAAGAACTGCTGACAATGGAGAATAATAAGGGCTTCTGGGTTAGGTTATTTTTCAGAAAAAAGTAAAACTGATTTTTGCATATTTTCTGAAGAAACGTTATCAACACTTTTAAGCATGATATATAGTTTACATAGACTTTTCCTTGAAGTTTTATAGATTTACAGTCTGCTTTGAGTAATGCCTTTCTTCTTTTTTTTTTTTTTTAATTTTTACTCCTCTCACTAGTTGTTGGATTTTTTTTGGAACCTAGCTGTGATTCACTCTTGTCTTCTGAGTGCTTATTGCTAGCAATTAAATTCTGACCTTCATATCATCACATGCCTTCAAAATAACTTCTTGCCAATTTATATGAACTCTATATTTTGTGAAAGATGTTTCTTTTCCCTGTTTTTCCTGCTCCAGAGTCCAGACTCAGGGAGACACAGAGAATTGTTAGCAGTGATGGGTGTCACTTGATTCTGTCTGACATAGTACAGAAGATACCTCCGTATTACAATTTTTCATTAATGGAACATCTTTTCAGGTGGAAAACCTGAGTGAAAATGGAAAAGAAACTCATGTATATGTCTCTACACAAACATTCTTTTGTCAGTCTTTCTTGTAAGTGCTAAAACATGGCTGCTGTCTCTAGCCATCAAAATGAAACCTTTTCTGAATGGGCTGTACTCTAACGTAGTCGTCTGGCTTTTCTGCAAAGTTACTTGCATATGAGAAAGCATTGAGGTTGTTAAACTGCAAAGTATCTGAGGTGTAAATATTGCATCTTCCTATCTATGTACCGCAGTATTCTGCGTGTATACAGTTTTACAGATTATTTTTGCTAGTGAATTTAGGAGGATATGGGTGCTCCCATTAGTTTCTCTCTCAGCCTTTCTACATCAAGCATCATTTTAATTATGTACTTGAATGACATTTTACATCGGGGAGAGGGATTTTGTTGTCAGCATTGTCAGGCCATTGATAACTTCTCTGTTTCATTACTGTAGTTCCTCTTTCAGTAAATAACCTTCCACTAATTCGTTATTTAGGTCTCAGTAATCCCATTTGAAATTCTGGATTGTTTAATTGTGCTAGTTTGAGTTACTAACAGGAAAAAAGGAAAATATTGTTTCAGATTCTGTGGTTTAACATACTATCAAAGATGAGCTCTGAAGCAATATAAAAATAGTTTCAACTGGACATGGGGAAAAATACTAGTATCTTAAGGCTCTTCTCAGTTACTTCCTTTATAAACACGTTTTAGGATGAGTAGATGTAAAATCTTGTGATCTGCAAAATGTTTGGTTTAAGAATTTAATTATGGTAGCTGTGTTGCCAAACATCTGTGTTTGAACTGTGTCAGTGACTAATGGGAAGATAGTTATCTATAGATATTTTTAATTTAAACCTATCATTCCCTGTCAGATATATTTTAGAATAGGGGGGAAGAGTTTGTTTCATGAAAACTGTTAGCAGTGGTTTTTGGGTTGTTTTAGTCCCCTTTGATATATTCCTATATAGGTGTATCAGGAACTTATCTCCTTGTAAAGATATGGATAGCTTATTAATTAGGAAGTCTAACTGACATATGTGTGTATATGTGCATGCATGAATCTGTTTATAATAGTAACATGAGACATATCTTGGTTGGTATTCATTTTTCACAGGAGTACTTTTTTGATGAAATTAATACAAACTATGTGGCTTAGTGTCATGAACATTTTGGAAAAGCAGAACCATTACATTTTTTTGTTGCTCCAGTCTCAGTTACGATACTAAAATACTTGTGTGTACCTAATAATATGTACATGTTTCCAGGGGCAAAAAAGATGGTCAGTAATCAAAAATGAAACAACTAAATACCTCTGTTTTATTCTGTCTAGCTGTTTTTCTTTCTGCTTATTCCCTGTTGCACGTATCCCTACCTTGACATCCCCAGGTAGTGGATTCACACTTAAAATGGTGCTCTGTATTTTTGAGAACACCTTTGCATTTTGCAGCACTTTTGCTAGTGTGTAGTCTTTCTTGTTTCCTCTCTGAACTGGAGGCCCTGTAACAATCTGCTCAGACAGTTGTCTCTCTTTTTCTGAAAGTGCCTATGGAGATCTTTTCTGCAGCTACTGCTGATTAATGGTATTGATTAGGCTGCCTTCTCCCCTCACCTAAGCTGTGGAGCAGTAAACCAAGTGGGAGGGTATGTAAACTACCCACTTCAGTAGTTATCATTTTCTTTTCCTCTCAAAAAGGTTCATGAAACCATGCTAATCACAAAGAATTTTGAGACTTTGTAAGGATATTCCATTCCATTATTTAATATTGATTCAAATGTGGCTGCTGAATTTTCAACACATTAAAAATGGACCTTTAAAAGTACTTGTGTGAAATGCTACTTGTATATAGTCTTCTCTTAAACCTCTAGCCAGTGGTCATCCATTCCATAGGAATCTTAACCTCAATTCTGCTTTTGCTTGATGCACTCTATGGAACAAGAGGTGGAGGTGTTGCAGCATTTTTGGATAGAATTTTTTTTCTTCTTTTTCTTTTACTGAATTCCTAATGTTTTACATATGAAAAACTCAGTCAGATGGGCTGTTTGACTTGATATACTTAGATCTTACGTTTTGAGCTGTCTCTGGCTTTGCATCTTCAGTTTTCTGCATAATGTATGTACAAAAAATTGAAGTTGTTTTGAAGAAGCTGTTAGAAGAAATTACATGAGTGTCTTCAGTTATTATCAGTATTGATGTCTTTAAACTGTCCTCATTACTGCTTTTATTTATATTCATTCTTGGTTTGAATGCTTCCATCTAATTTTTTAACTTGAAGCCTTTTTGTAGCTGTTACAGCTACTGCAGATTCATTGGACATGCTTTTAGTTATAGCAACTCACTATATTGTGTATATATATTCACAGTATTGTTTCTTATGTGCCTAGAGAAAGTTTCCTGTACCTCTTTGAACGTTTGTTTCCATCTAGTAAGCTGTTTTTGCTGTGTTTATTCTGTGGCCTGTGGCTAAGGCATGTTATGTTAGTGGAGTGCTGGAAGAAGCCGTGCTGATGCTTCCCATGTGCTCATTTACTCGTGCGTGATTATTTTTGTCTGCTTATTTTTACACACATTCCATATTGCCATCTCATTGTGTTATTTCTCTAGACCTGGATCTGTCTGCTTGTTGTAAGCGCTGCATTGGAGTCGTGCTAACGCGCTAACATTTATCTTGATTGATCTCGTGGCAGGCAAACCCTGTGGTTGGCTTTCTTTTTCTAAATGGATGGCCTTTCATTTATTTATTTTTAAAGGCAGTCTGTTTTATCTGCGTAGCATGTATGTCTGATTAGAACCTCCCCACTGTAACATTCAGTGGGGATGGTTCTTGCTCAGGTGATGCTGAATGGTTTCCTGTAAACCATGAAGCCATGCTTTATCCGATCTAAACCAAACAAATACAGAAGATTTCTACTTACCTCCTTTTAGCTGGGATTAATTTGCTGTTGTGGCTTGAACTGTTCCGCCGTACTAATTCTGGCTAGGGATGAGTTCATCAGGTATTTGTGCATTGCTCTGTTTTGGATGTCGTTGCTCCCTCTACACGAGCAAAAACGTGGCCTGTACATGTCACCACTGCTATGTGTTGGAAGCAGTGCTGGATAAAGAGGGTTAAATGAAGGTCAGATGCATTTTACAAATCTTCTGTGAGTTACTATTCTGAGATGCTTTTTAGTGTCAGTAAATTATGAGCATCTGTTAGTACATGTTTTTAAGTATATTTTATTAGCTATTTAGTACATGAGCCACGCTAAAGCATGTGTAAGTCTTCTCTTGTTCAACTAGAATGTTCTTAAAATGGTGCTGGAATTTAGGCTGTTGTATCTTTTCTTTTTAGTGTGATTTCCCAAAAAGGCCCCACCAGTTTAGTTGACCAAGTGTTAGTATGGACGCATACAGAGTTACTTAACTTGTGTAAAATATACTGTATCATCATTTTTAGTGAAAACATCATGCTGCCTTTGAAAATAGTTCATCATGTGTGTATGGATTGCCAGCTTCACTGTAGCATCAGAAATCAACAAATAAACTGGTATTTTGAGTGCAATTGTTTACTGCAGAATGCTAATAATGACTCTTATTCATTTGTTTCTGCAGAATGACAGGAGGGGAGTTTTTCTCTCGGTTTCCAAGTCTTTATCCTTTCCTTCTCAAGCAGTTGGAGGTTGTAACCAATACTTTGAACAGGTAAGACAATGTCTAAGAAGACTTTGAAATATAAAGTGGAATGAAAAATTTGAGCTGTGTCACGTACACCCTAATGCTGTTGTATATATCAACAGCTTCTTGAAATTATATAGTTCAACTACGTGTCTTTTGCTAAGGCTTTTTTCTTTTAGTTTTTGCACATCTCAGTAAGTCCCTGAAGATTGAACTACTGCTGAGTAATTAATAGTTGCTGTGTTCCTAGGATCAGATGTTAAAGAACTTATATTTTTCAGGGCAACAGAAACCGGGTGTTTGACTTTCTCATGTTTAACAATGAGGCTTCCTAAGGTGTTTAAGTGATACGGGGTCATAGGCCTCACGTAACCCTAAATGAACACTTTCCAGCCTGTGACACACTGACTCTAGGGAAAGTCCTTGGTCTTCTTTTAAGGACTCCACAAATGGTGGCTGAGAGCTACAGATGATGCCACTTGGGATGACACTGTTACCTCCAGGTTCATGAACTTTTAGAGTAAATCAATGCTGGATTTGTTTTCTCTTAAAATGCCATGGTATAAACTGTGGAAGTTGAGTAGCTGATTTATGGGTGAGGTTCAACTGTCTGTTTAATGGGCCTAAGGTGGATACTCTGAAGCAGAAGTTTCACCAGTCATTGCATGTTTTGCAGTATCTGCTTAAGAAAAGAGGGTGTGTACATTCAGTGCAGCAGTCTGCTTTCCCTGACGTTTTGAAAGGTGACAGTGTCCTCATTGGTAAATTCTGGGAAGTCTTTCAGTTGAAAAAGATTGAAAGCTGCTGTCTGAAGTGGAGGCTTGGAATGCTTTTTCAGTGTGAATTCAGACTTGTATCCTATTATTAGTCATTAAATAAATCAAGAAGGGTTGATTTTAACTTAGATTTCTGATTTTTTTAAATATGAATAGTAGCCACTTGGCGTCAGTGACAAGAACTATTTTTTAATAAAACCTGCTTTTTGCTAAATACACATTTCCTCCCAAACTGATGAGTTTTTTTTTAAACCACCTTTTCATAATTAACTCCGCTTTCATAGTTTCCTGGTTCATAGAGAAAGATTATCTGTGCAGGTTTTTAATATTATTTAAAAATGAAGGCGGCTCACCATAATTGGGAAGAAAAGAGGCTTGGAATAATGCAGGAAAGTGATGGCAATACAGCCATAAGTGCCTTCATTACCGGGGTTCCCTGCAGGAGAACTGGATGCCATGTTTGATCCCAGCAGGGTTTGCACTCTCTTGTAATGATCAACCTAGAATACCTCCTTGAACCAGAAATGCAGAAGCCTATTTTGTGGGGAAGAGAATCAATAATAGCGTGAAGGAGAATGCGTTTTTCACCAAATGCTTCTTACCCCTTTCTATTTAGTGAAGTTGAAGAGTTGAAAGTCCATCCAAGCCTGTTTCTTTTGCTTTTAATCCTGGGAAGACTGTATCCATCTCCAATGGATGGCACTCATTCAGCACTCAGCATGGCACCATTTGTCCCTTTTATTATAAGGTAAGGTTTTGTAAGGTGGTGGGACTTCTTTCTTGAATCTCTGCAAATTTTTTTTAATAAAATAACCTTTTTAAACTTCTCTTCAGTTTTAATTATTAAAGGAAAAACTGGTACTCACTGATTGCTCTTACCTATATTATTAAATGTCTTTTGGAGAATTAGAATATCTGCTTATGCAAGCCATTGTATGACCTGGTTGTAAATCTTCATCTGCAAATGCTGTATGCCACGATTGCTGCTGCAGAGAGGGTAGAGGAAAACTCATGACAGATTGTAGCAGTGCAAGGTTTGCTGTACAGAATTCTGATGGATTTTTCAGTCCTGCAGAATGACTGTTCATAACACGTAAATGTAATGATTAATATACAGACTTGTAGATGCACATATATATATAATCTCCATATTCATCTGTGTATATACATACATAGGTAGATAAAGATATGGGTCTGTACTTTATCTACTATGTTTCTAAGATGACTTTTCAAATTTTTATACAGTGTAACTTTCAGTTATATGGTGGTTACATGAAGGTATTCAGCAGATATTTTTGCTACTCTATATGGTTTGGGATGGGGAGCCTGATAAGGGAACCAGGGTTGTGGTGGGTGAGCAGAAATCAATATTTGAGAGGAAGTCTTGCTGTCTGTGTAAAAGCTTCAACAGTAGGGTGAGTAAACTTCTGTACTTAATCTCACTCCTTTAGTAGTGAAGCAAGACAAAGTTGTTGTTACCCTAAGATCTTAAAATTTTTATTTTAAGCTACTGCTTATGTTAAAAAATAGTATCTCTGCTTATTCTTCACAGCAGATGTGATGTATCTCGTGCTTTTTATGATGGCTTTTAATTTTCAAGAATAGATAATTATTTTCCGAAAAGAAAAAACCTGTAGTAGGAGTTTTTAAATGCACTGTATTTAACAATTAAAAATATTTGGGTTTCTGCCATATCAGAATCTTAAATGCTTTTTGAGGAAATGTTTAAAACTATTTCTTACGTATTTTATTAGTTCTGGTTTTATACCTTTATTAATGCACAGGAGAATGCTCTCTTTTTTTTTTTAATATAATGTTTCAGATAGTTTCTGTTATTGGTAATAGATTAATTTTTTATAAGCTTTTGGTTACAGCTTTTTAGTTTTGTCTTTATACTTAGGACCACTATTTTTTTAAAGGTAAATAATGCCAGCAAAGTAGCTTTTCACACTTAGTTAGCTTATTATCTTGAGGTTGTTTTAAATACATTCAGAAGATGTGGGGAGAAAACTCCAATAAAAATTTTTAAGAATCTGAAACATTTAAGAAATCTGTATCATTGGACCTCCTTTCCTTTAACTGGTAAGGGAACTGTGTTCCTGAAGAGGAATGATATGGCAGATAAATATGATGCTTTCTGGATTTCCTTTCCACTGAATTTGGCAGTAAGTGCTGTGGATACAGGTATAAAACTTGAATAAAGTTATTACATATTTCAGGCAGAAAATTCTATGTGGGTGTACAGACATGCATTTTCTGACTGGTTACTTAGCAAAGCATTGACATTTTTATGGTTGCCAGGGGACAATACCAAGGATTCTGCAGGAGGAAATGTATTTATTATATAGCTCAGTGTGCTTTTACTGGCTGTATTTCTGTCTACAGTTCTTATGCCCTTGTTCTGTGAATACCATGATTGTTTTCTGTTCATTTTGACTGCATTAGTTGGAATACACAGGGATGATTTATCTTGATAAGATAAATATGTTGCTATTTTTTCTTCTATTTCCCTTCCTATTTTTCATTCTACAATAGCAAATGAACAAAAATAAAATTCTCTCCTGTTCATTTGGTTGTTCTTTAGAAGGTGGTATGAAGATTGTTGCGAAGTAACCACATAGAGAGGATTGAAGAGAAGGTCTGATGCCAAAGGCCCTATGCATCAAGTAATTTAATTGTATATAAAAGCTGTTTCCTTGAATTGCTCAATGCAGTATTGTATTCTATAACATCTGCATGTACATATAATTACACGGTAGTCCGATACAATTATAACATTTAATTGCCATATTTTTACCATGAAATTTTTGCATTTCTGTTGTTGTACCACTGTCAAGGAAAGATATTGCTACACATTAAGGAGAGAGGAAGGGTGAATGTGACCCGTAACTGGCCTTGATGCCCTTCCCCGGGCTCAGCCCACAGTGAAGTGGCATTCATTTTGTGCTCTGAGAAGATGAACAGAATACTGTGTTTGCAAGCAAATGAGCAGTTCTATGAACAAAACTGGGCTGAGCAGAAAGAATTCAAATTGGGCTTTTGAAGAGTTTCACTTAAGCTCGAGTGGAATTTTCCATCTAGTGGGAGTAGAGCTATGGTTGCTCTGACTGTGCTGAGATGAATTGCACAATATGAGCAGGATTAAATGCTACAAGGACAAATCTCAATCTCTGTGCATATGCTTGTTACTCCCTGTTGAACTAGGGCATTTGATTACCTATCTGCAGTTCTATTAAGCTATTTTCCCCCTTTTCCTCTTGCAGATGTTTTATGTGGAAGGGAACACTTTGATTCACAACTTATTACCTCACTTATTTTTTTTAAAGAGCTAGATAGGTCTGTTTTAATGGTTACTTTCTAAGATGAAAGAATGTACAGCATGTTTTTGATTAACAAGGGAGGTAATCGGGAGGTAATGTTTTAAGTATGAAACAAAAACATAACCTCCCTTTCGCCTCCCCCTCCCCGTTTCAAAGACTTGTAATCTCTTCAGAATGATCTAGAATTCAGCCTTATGTCCTCTTGTACCATGACATTGATGGTGTTTGTTTAGTGTTAAATGTTCTGGGCTGAATGCTCTGAAGGAGTAAAATGGGTATTGCTATACTGACTTGGATACTTTTCCCTAGTTCAAGTCTGTCTCTAAGAGTGTGTGACTTCTTAGTCTTCTAAGAAGGTTTTAAAAAATTAGCTTTAAAATGTCAAACAGTATAAGGTTTTAAAAACTGTTCAGGTGTATGTGCCTTGTCTTCCCCTTGAAAAAAACTACTTAATTCTTCATGAAATTTTTCCTTTAAAATTTTGTCAAAGAGACATATTTCAAAGTAGTGTTGCTTCTAGGTATATTATGTTGCAAGTCATTGAAGAAACTCGCTGTCTGAGGTCAATTTAAATAGAAATGTGAACATCTTTCCATGAAATCAACACAGTTACGAAATTGGCACTGTTTTCTTGGGCAGAACTTTGTAACTTGTATTTTCTGTAAAATGGAGGCACTAAATTCTGAAGTCCCCTGATGCTGTTTCTAGACAGGGATAAGGACAGGTGATAGTGGGAAGCACTAGTCCTTTACAGCTGTCCTCTTCCCCCTTCTACACCTCTCCATCCACCACCGTGAACGATAGAGCTTTGGTTTTGCACTTGAGAGCTTGTCATTAATATACAAGAATAATCACTGTCACCATTAGTTAATGATAGACACTAGGATGCAAGGAAAAAAAACCTGTCTGTGGTGAGGAAAAATTTTCTGTGGGATGGAGCATTGTCAGATTCCCTGTTACCGTAAGTCATTCCTAACAGAGTGTTAAGAGAAGGAGAGGGGAAAGTCCATATTGTCTGGGAGCAAACTGGCAGCTCAAATGCTGTCCTACTAGCTGTGATAAATCTGTTATTTGAGTGGGCTGGATGCATCTGCTAGAGGGTTTGTGGGTTTACATTGGTCTTAGAAAGGCAGAGGAAACAACTGAAGATGGTATGACAGTTTTTATTGGTACATTTTCTCTTGGAAGTTACTACTTCTGCGGCTTGCTTGTCAGAACAGGCTCTGTGAAACCTCCTAATAGGCTTCTGGCAAAGTCAGCTTGGTAAATTTTTTAAAAGTCGCTTGGCTGAGGCAGTGTGAGATGTCCAAAGTGCCCCCTGTGATCCTTTGCCCACGGCAGTGCTGTGGCACAGGTGATGCCAGCTGGCTGCACAGGAGCCCTCCACAAGCACCAGCGTGGCATCCCAGTGGGTTTCTGTGAATCGTGTCCTTGCACAGCGCTTTGGGGCCTATGGAGCCAGGATGACGTTCTTTCAGTAAACTTTATTTTCTTGGTCATTTTGAAGGGATTAGAGCAGACTCTTTAGATGATCTGTTACCTTAGGGATTTGGTGGATTCTTCTTAGATGCATTACTTATGCTACTTCACAGAGAATTACATTTGTGAGTCTGTCCTGCTGCAGGAAGTGATGCAGACTGTTGGCCCCAATTTCTTTCAAAATTGTGGGGAAAAACAAAGAAAAATCCTAGAGGCCATGATTCCATGTAAGTCTTTAGCCCACATCTGTAATGCAGTACTCTTGGTTTTACTCAGTGGGTGAGCATGCCTAGGACTTTTAAAAATCTTAACAGATGTCAGACTAATATGCAGGTTAGAGAAAATTTTTCTTAACATTCAAAAAGCATTTTTCTTAACGTTTCTTAACCTTCAAAAGCAAAATATGGCATTTCATTATAAAAGATCAGATTCCTTCATTGAAGGTAAAGAGGTTCAATATATAACATAGAGATTCCATAAGTTGGTCTGTACAAAATGCTATTCAGAGATTGTTTTGTCAGATACCAGCAAGCTTAAAAAGCTATTTTATAACTATAAACTTGAATTTTAATCTCCTATAATGAATTTTGTTTTGTACTTTTTATTGACCAAAGTGCATGGTAGTCTATCTGTAAAAATATTTGCTGGAAATTTAAAAATAGACCTTCAGATGCACTCTGCTTGAACCTAGTACAAAGGACTAATTGTTTTCAATAGTCTTCTGTTTAGTAAAATATTTAAGAATCTTCCCCATGTAATGAAGCAATCTAATGATGTTGCATTATACTGTATCTGTCAAATACAATTTTCAATTACCAGATATATTAATATATTTACATTATTATGCTGTCTTTTGCCATTGACTTATTTATTTCTGTTTCTTTGTGTTCCTAGTAATATGCAGAATGTTATTCTGATGCAGCTTTGTCTGTTTTGTTCCTCTCCCCAT